TAACTGCCTCTTCCTCAGTGTTGCTCTCGTTCCTAAAATTCCCCAGGGAAACTGACCTCCTTTCCACCTTCTTACATTATATCTAGTTTTTGTCCTCTGTGGAGGTATAATATTAATCTCGCCATCATTATATAAAGTATATTTAAATAGTTCCACATTTTTTCCCGCCTCACTTCTGGATATCCCCTCATAAGACCAAATTCACCATCTTCAAATCTTCCAGGAACTGTATGAGCTCTAGGCTAAGCCCCAGGAAATCCTTGGTGCTCTGACAGATTCCACAGGAAATCCTCACATTACTTCAGACTGGCAAGGAGAGGGCTTTGTGGGCTCGTGTGAGGAATCGCTTCCTGGTTCACCGTGGTTTCTTGCTGCCTGGTTTTTACCATCTCACTTTTTTTTTTTTCTTTGAGACAGGGTCTCATTCTGTCACCCAGGCTAGAGTGCAGTGTCGTCATCATAGCTCACTGCAACTTCAAACTCCTGGGCTCAAGTGATCCTCCTGCCTCAGCCTCCCAGAGTGCTAGGATTATGGGTGTGAGTGAAGTTAGTGTTTGTTCCCGGAGAGTCTAATCTGCTCCTCCCTGAAGTCTTTGGTACTAGGGTGTTCATTATGTGGGCTAATCCACATAACGGGATTGTGGTTATGGGGGCGCCTTGTTGGACTGACAGAAAAGCGAGAAGCTGGCCTCCTGGGGTGAGGCAAATGAGGAAAGATTTAAAGTGAGTGGGGAGAATCATTCACGGTCAGGATGTTTTATTTAAAAATCTGATTTTTTTATTATTATTAAGTTTTTGCATTAATTTTGAATTTTTGAAACATTGCATTATAATATTTATCTTGACGACTGAGTCTTTTAGCGCCCCTTTCAGTGTCGTGCCCAAGACAAATGCCTCACTGTCCTAACCCTCATCTGGGCCCTTTTGTGGGTCTGTCCCTGGGACAAGCCTAGCTCCACGATAGTGAGGTCTGCGCAGTCTCATGGGGCCTGTGCTTGGTTCAATGCTCTGCTGTCTTGAAATTCTTAATAATTTTTGGACAAAGACTCCTGCATTTTCATTTTGCACTGGGCCCTGTAAATTATATAGCTGGTTCTGAACAGCAAAGTAAGTTTAAAATTAAATGAAGAATCAAGTTGTGCGTTGTCTTTCTTCGGGGAAAATTTCAGTTGTGCAGCATTCATGCTATAGCTTTCCTGGTTCCTTTTGTCATTCATTCCATTTAAACCAAGGAGGCTCTGTCCTCACAGCACTTCCCGGTGTTGTCTCCTATTAGTAACAATGTTTGGTTTTTCAGCTACTTTGTGGGGGAGAAAATGCTCCCTGCTTCTATCTGGAAGACTAGCTTGCTTGGTTCTGTGATTCATCAGAAATAAGAAAAACAAACACTGTAAATGGAGAACTTGAAAAACAGGTGGGCACCATCTCCCCACCCAAGAGAATGGATTTAAGAGGAAATTTGTTTATGGGATGAGGTTTTAAAAGGCGACCTGGAGAATTTAGCAAAGATGTAAATAAACAACTCTTCCTGGGATTGCATTAGGCTTCAGAATAAATATATTAACCAGCTTCAGTCAAAGTCTGCCTTAGAGTCTGACCTTGACAAGACCCAGTGACTGGTGCTGCTCCAACCCTCCCCCCAGGCAGCAGGCAGAGTTCTCCGTGGCAAAGCTCCCTGCAAACAGGCGTCCCAGCTTCCCTCCCACAGCGTGAAGGTAAGCAGAGGCCTATCATGTTTCCTCTGAGTGCAGGCTGCAGGACGGCCCCCCTGCAAGCCCGAGGGCAGTCTGGAGACACCAGCCTTGTTTTTATATGCTATAGCCATCCATAGCAAGATACAAACACACATCTATTACTCACCAGGGGTACTGAATTGCTGTGTCGGCTGCAGAAACAGCCTAGGTCTGTGGTCAATTCCCATTATGTGCAGATACAAGCTGATGCATTTAACTCGGGCTGCTAAGGAATGCGCCAGGTCCCAGCAGGCAACCCGGGGCTGGTGGAAGGAGAAGGGATGTGCTCCCTGGGCCCCCTCCTCGGTGGCTGGTATCCCTACAGGGAGGGAGTCTGGCTTTCCCCTGCTCTCCCATCTATCTTCCTCTTCCTTTGGCCCCCGTCCTGCACCCAGACTCCTGTACGAGAATTTATGAAGCATTTCCACAGTATGACTCAAATTATTATTACACATATTTAAATGCCTTGCTACACAGACCACACAGAAAACACACAGCCATAGCAAGGCAATTAAAGTATTACTAAAAGGAGGTTGAGTAGGGCCTTTCATAGTCCTTGGAAGGAATTTTAAGAATTTTTCTTTTTGAAATCTCACCTCCATCTCTGGCAGACTAACCTAACATTGGAAAATCATTCTTGGTTTTTCTGAAAAATTGCTACTACATCACATCTAAGCTACTGTGTACTGGGGCAAGCAATGTTCATTTCATAACAAAAGAAGTGCAATGTTCTTTTGATGGCGGGTGCAGGAATTAAAATAAATGGGACTCCTGTTTGGGAGAAGCATTATGCTAGATGTTTTATAAATGTCACCTTATTTAAGTCCCACAAAAACTTTACAAAATGGGCATTATTATTCCTATTTTACAGATGAGAAAACTTGAGTCTCAGAACGGGCAAGCTCCCATGCTTTACACATAGGTCTGTGCAATTTTTTCAAGTTCACGTTCTTTCTCTTTTATTATTTTTTTCCTCTGTTTAGTTTTAGATTGTTATTTTGAAAATGGGCCTTTTATAGATCCCTCCTTTTATCCTGCAGCAGGGGCCCTGGACCGTTTTGTGCAGGGGAGCTACCCCATCCTCATCTGAAGCTTCAGGTTAAACAGACTTGTCAAGGGAATCCACCTGGGAGCTTCCGGCATTTCGAGTAAAGGATTCCTTCGGAAATACATAAAATAATGGTTGTTAACCTTCATGGAGCGTTTGCCATGTGCAGGCATTACTCTGGACTCTTCCCCTGTTGTCCTATTAGAGCCTCACAGGGACACTGTGAGGAAGCTACTAGTATCCTCCCTGATTTACACACAAACGAGGAACAGATTTTTGAGGTCAGGAACAGAGGCAGGCTAAACCTGGCCAGCCCCCTCCAGAGCCCGGGCAGAACAACTGAGCTGAGGAGCACCCCTGTCCTCTCCAGAGCACAGGCGTGAGGGATACCTACTTGCTTCCAAACCAAGACAGGCGACCTCAAAGGTCAGCCATGGCCAGTTAAAAAGAAAACTGGGCTAGGCGCGGTGGCTCACGCCTGTAATCCCAGCACTCTGGGAGGCCGAAGTGGGAGGATCGCTTGAGGTCAGGAGTTCGAAACCAGCCTGAGCAACAGCGAGACCCCATATCTACTAAAAATAGAAAAAAATTAATTGGTCAATTAAAAATATATAGAAAAAATTAGCTGGGCATGGTGGCACGTGCCTGTAGTCCCAGCCACTTGAGAGGCTGAGGCAGGAGGATTGCTTGAGCCCAGGAGTTTGAGGTTGCTGTGAGCTAGGCTGATGCCACGGCACTCTAGCCTGGGCAACAGCGAGACTCTGTCTCAAAAAAAAAGAACAACAACAACAAAAAGAAGAAAATTGGATGACCAAGATTTAGGATGAGTGATGAAAAAGTATTTTTGCTTCAGTCATACAGAAGGCTGATAAAGAAAAATATTGATTAAAAAAAAATAGGTAGGAGGGAATATATCTACCTGAGATATGCTATGCATTTGTGGTCAGGAAAGGAGTATGAAAGGTACCAAAGAAGGTATTTGAAAGTTGGTGGCTTCAGGGATTAGCTTCAACATCATTGTAAATTATACTGTGATGAACATCTTTGCCTGTGAAACTTTATATCTCTGATTGCTGCTTGGAAGCTAACTGTAACCTCTGATTATTTTTTGGACTCTAACCTAAGAAAATAGAATTTATGGGGATAAAGGTTCTTCATTATTATATTACATATTGATTTCTATCAGCACTGCATATGTATGGATGTTCAAGTGCATTCAAGTTTAATTTTTTACAGGGAAATACATTTCATATCCAATCCCTACTGAATTGTCATCTGCCCAGCTCAATATAGGATAAGAGTCAGGTGTGTGAGCTCAGAGATCAGATTTCCTTGATCTGAACTCTGGCTCTGCCATTTGAAGCTATAGTACACATCCTTCAATGATAACATGTGGATAATAATGATATCTACCTCATATGATTGTTGTGAGGGTTGAATCATGGTAGTATTTGTTAAATGTAAGCACTGGGCCAGACGGAGTAAGCATCCAATAAGTGTCAGCTGTTATCACTATTGTTATTATTATTCATATAATTATTTATTTTGTAAATAATAGTTACTGTAGCTAGTGACATGTTATACAGTCATAAGGCTGAGATGTTCCCCACCTGTTTCTTAGACTGAAGTGTTTTACTTTCCTTCATATAAGCAAAGATTGTGCCTTATCGCTTGTTCGTTTGGGCCTACCGAAGTGTGGCTGAGATAGATAGGGCTACCACGCTAGATTCTAGGAGGGATAAACTGAGATGAACACAGCACTTGAGACCAAAAGAAAAAAAGAAATGTAGGCCGGGCACGGTGGCTCACGCCTGTAATCCTAGCACTCTGGGAGGCCGAGGCGGGTGGATGGCTCAAAGTCAGGAGTTTGAAACAAGCCTGAGCAAGAGGGAGACCCCGTCTCTACTATACAGAGAAATAAATTAATTGGCTTACTAATATATATAGAAAAAATTAGCCGGACATGGTGGCGCATGCCTGTAGTCCCAGCTACTCGGGAGGCTGAGGCAGAAGGATTGCTTGAGCCCAGGAGTTTGAGGTTGCTGTGAGCTAGGCTGATGCCACAGCACTCACTCTAGCCTGAGCAACAAAGTGAGACTCTGTCTCAAAAAAAAAAAAATTTAGATTACTGGGATAGGAGATGTCAGTGATAAGAGTTGCGTTTCTCCCAGGCGTTTGGACTGCACAGTCAAATAATCATATGGCAGGAAGACGAGTACCTGAAACTCCAGCATGGTCTTCCCCATGTTTGACTCCAGCATGTAGTGATAGGCTCCGATGCTGGTGCTGGGGTCGTCTGCGTCATCCAATGTGGCCTTGGAAAGGAAAGAAGAAGGAGAAAATATCACTGAATTTTCCTCCCCTTCTTTAAGTGGTCACAAATGAATCCTGTGACCACACAGCAAGCCTTCTATTCTTGGCCTAACCCTAACAGGTGTCCACTCTACAACCTGTCTACAATCTTTGGTTGGTTTTGGATAAACACCTTAATCTCATTATGACTCAGAGTAAAGAGGGTTTTGTGATCAATTTGAATCTAGCTTTTGATTAGAATGATAACGGATTATCTGCTTGCCCAAAGAATGATTTTCCAAAAGAAATTTCTGTATCACACCCAGGGTGGTGTTAACATGTGTGTGGCCACCCCTCTGTGGCCTTCAGTGGTTCTTGAAATCTGGAAACACTGACTTTGCTCTGATTCCAGTGACAACCAGGCAAGATTATATAACTGACATGGAAAGAATTCTTCAGCTGTAGGGACCGTTCGTATTTTGCTGCCATGATTCTTAACAGGAGCTTTTCATAATATGCTGGTGTTCGGCCTGGAGACATGGATCTTGGTTTGTCTTTTTTCATTCCCTGACCACTTAATCTTTAAGAAACAGGGTGGGTGGGTGATGGGTAGAAATGAAATTTCCTTTAATTTGGTTGTGGGGCGTGGTGTTAACATAGCTCTGGGATGGCACTTGGGCTTGCCCTTCTCCCATCCAAGTACTAACCAGGCCCAACCCTGCTTAGCTTCCGAGATCAGACGAGATCGGGCGCACTCAGGGTGGTATGGCCGTAGGCTGGGCCTGCCCTTCTATTTGTCACAGATGTGGATTCCTGGGAAGGTGGGCAGTGGTGACTTTGTGAGACTGAACAAACAAATGCCAGCATCAGACAGCTGCAAATCTGTAGCTTTTGAATGCAATAACATTAACACACTGCTGCTGAAATATTTATGTTGGCTTTTTAAATATCCCAGGGGAAGTCCATCCAGAAGCATGCAAACCATATATATTCTTTTTCCTTAGAAATTTCCATGAAAAAAATGATAAATTACATTTACACTGAGGGCCCCTCCCTACTCCTGAGTAAATTCCACACGTACATAAATCAGGCATCATTTTCCTAACTTCTCTTCCTCAAAGGCACTTGAAATTTACAGGGCTGGAAAATAAAGGCTTTCTTTCATCCTCAGACCAGATATAACAGAGCTCCCTGACAGGTCGATCTCTCTCCTTCCCCTGCCCTTTCCCCATGTCTCCTCTAAGTGATAAGAGCATTTATAAGGGGAAAAGGTCACTGCTAGTCTGGTAATGTTTCCTTTGTTATCAGCAGCTTCTCCAGAATGTCAGAACCTTTCTAGTCAGATTAAGGGAAATGGAGAAGGAAAATCTCTGATGGGGTTTACCCATGCTAAAGGCAAGCCAGAGGTGGCTAACCCCTTGTTGATGCGAAGTCCCTGCCCTTGAGCAAACCCAGAGAGACACCTGCCACAGGTGAGGACCCAAGACTTATGGTTTGGGGGTAATGGGTGTTGGGAGCTCCAAATCTTTCATGGGATAAATAATTCAGGGCTGGATTGTCAAAAAAAAAAGTCCTATCTAAGTTTCTAAGGTAGGGTGTTCATGTTTTGCTCTTAATGCACTTTGCATTTAATTGTGTCCATTACAGAAAATTTCAAAACTCTTTAGAAGAGGTAATTGATATTACCATGATAATTCTAATGGCTAACATATATTAGGTATATGCTTTTCCCCATATCTAAACAGTGTTTCCTTAACACATTAACCGCCATGTGAGTTGTTTTGAGCCCAGAACCTAGTTTTGAGCCTGGGGCCTCGTGAAGCATATATAACTCACACATTCTCTTCACCTTCAGAGCCATGAAAACTATTTTTCAAGTTGCATATGACTCACACACAGAAAACAATAAAAAAATAATGAGTTTTTCATTGAATTAAAAAGGATTGTTTTGGCCCGGCACGGTGGCTCTCGCCTGTAATCCTAGCACTCTGGGAGGCTGAGGTGGGAGGATCGCTCAAGGTCAGGAGTTCAAAACCAGCCTGAGCAAGAGTGAGATCCTAGCTTTTGCTAAAGACCCTAAATCACCAAGGGTCTCTACTGAAAATAGAAAGAAATTAATTGGCCAACTAAAAATATATAGAAAAAATTAGCCAGGCATGATGGCACATGACTATAGTCCCAGCTACTTGGGAGGCTGAGGCAGGAGGATTGCTTGAGCCCAGGAGTTTGAGGTTCCTGTGAGGTAGGCTGACACCACGGCATTCTAGCCCAGGCAACAGAGTCAGACTCTGTCTAAAAAGAAAAAATTCAAAATTAAAAAAAAATTTTTAAAAAAGAATTGTTTTATTTTTGAAGTTTTTATTCTATTTTTGTAATAAAACACTGTGGCCCCATGGGAAAAAAATTTTTTTCTAGGGTAGCAGGTAATGTAAATACAGATTACAGGGCCCCACACTGGCTGGAGAATTGGTACTTCCAACAAGCACCTGAGATGATTTTTCTGATCATTCAAGTTTTGGAAAAACTAGAGCTAGTTTATCACTAGATTAAAGCAGTATTCAACTGCATGCATTCTCAGACCCTAAAAGAATCAACACTCCTCTTAAACCAAACATTCAACTAAACAAATCAAGATGGATCAAATGATCTACCTTGATTTAAAGCTTGATTAATTGTGGTCCAGGGAGGCTAAAGAAGACCATCGAGATGTGGACTGTGGTGTCCGATCCAATGATCATGATTTCCAATCTAAGTATACTTTTTTTCCCCCTGAAAATTAACAATTTAATGGGTACAAATTGAACCCAAACAATTCTTAAAATATGAATTTGCTCACTTTAGCATCTCTCAAGATTCAAATGCCTTAGTCTTCTCTGTGCAGCCACCTCCCCCCTTCCCTGCTGGGTACTCACGCTGGTGGAGGCTACTGCTTCCTGAACACTTTCCATAATGAATTCCTTGGTGATCCTGCGCGAGGGCAGCTCATTGAAGAGGGAGTTGATTAAGGCCACTTTCGCCGCATCCCGTCTGGCCTCAGCTCTACTTAAGCAACACTTGAGAAGGGAAGGAGAAAAGGAGTCATTAAAGGATTCAGCATCTCACCATTTCATCCCTGCGTCAATGGGTCTCTGGATGTTTCTATTCATACATTCGCTGTCTGCCCCTGTTCTTTCATACCCATTGCTAATCTCCCTGAAGATCATGCAGATTTTCTTTCAGCTCGAGAGCCCATGCAAATGCCTTGGTTAGTCTTCAATTACTTTTTGTCTTATTTCACAGTCATCGAATGTCTACTATGTATCAGAGGTTTTGCACACTCTGTTAATTAGTAATAATAAAAGTAATAATAGCTACTATTGTGCGCTAGATGATTTACATTCATTATCAGGGCCTTCCTCAAATCCCTATTTCAGAGAAAAAAATGTAAGGGTAAAAGGAAAACAAGGAAACTGGAGATACTTGTAATACAATAATTAAGAACACAGATTCTGGAGTCAGACTGCTTGCGTTTAAGTTCCAGCTATGGTGTTCTACCCACACTGCATGGACTGAGACCAAGGCAGAAAGCTAGTCCTCAAGAAAATCATGAAATTGTTACTAGAAGGAAGGTGGGGATAAATGCCGGAAAAGCAAAAACAATAGATATGGACAGCAGCACCTTTGTACTAACCTAAAGATAAAAGCTTCTAACTGGAATGTTCTCGTAGAGTGCTACCATGTGCCAGATATTCTCAGTGCTTTATCTATATCAACTAATTGAGTCTAACCTGCATTATTCCCATTTTACAGAGGAGGAAATTGAGGCAGACAGAGACTAATTAACCTGTCCAACATCTTAACTACTGGTAAACATCAGAGCTTAAACCCAAGCAGTCTGACTTCTTTTGAAAAGCTTCTGTTCATGTGTTTTTTTCCATTTTTTAATGGGGTTGTTTGATTTTTTTCTTGCTGAATTGCTTGAGTTCTTTGTACATTCTGGTTATTAGCCCTTTATTGAATATGTAGCATGCACATATTTTCTCTCATACTGTAGGTTGTCTGTCTGCTCTGTTGATTATTTCCTTGGCTGTGCAGAAGCTTTTTAAATTAATCAAGTCACATTTATTTATTTTTGTTGTTGCTGTGAGTGCCACTGGGGTCTTCTCCATAAATTCCTTGCCTAGGCTGAGATCTAAAAGAGTTTTTTCAACATTTTCTTCTAGAGTTCGTATGGTTTTATGCCTTATATTTAAGTCTTTTATTCATCTTGAATTAATTTTTGTGAGTGGTGAGTGAGAGAGAGATCCTGTTTCATTCTTCTATATGCGGCTATCCAGTTGTTCCAGCACCATTTATTGAACAGGGATTCTTTTCCCCAGGGTATATTGTTTGCTTTGTCAAAGATCAGCTGGTTATATGTGGATGATTTTATGCCTGGGTTTTCTGTTCTGTTCCATTGGTTTATATTTCTATTGCTCTCCATCCTCCTAGCCTGGCTTTCCATGGTTCACACAAGACTGCTCAAAGTATCCTGATTCTTTTCTGTCCTGTCTCTTTTTGTAACAACTACTTGAAGGACTCCTGTTCTTCAAGTTCCAGCTTGGTGTGGATCCTGGGGGTCCAGATAGAGGGAGGGCACCCAGTGAGAATTGGACTGGAGTTCTCTGGAGCCTACACCTTTTAGAGGACCCAGGATGTGATGGTTTCTTTCCTGCAGGCACCTGTGGACCCAGGGCTCCCTGTCTAGGGTCCTGGACTCTTGGGGGGAAATAAATCCCAGAAGAAGAAGCTCAAGCCCAGGTCTGGTCAGTGGGCCGGCCGGACACCACTGGCTTTGCTACTCAGTGGTTGTGAAAACCTGGGCCGCCTGGACTTTGGGGCCAGTTTTTTCATTGGATAAATAGGAAGGCCAGGCTCTCTGAGCTCCAAGGACCCCACCACCTAAAATACACGATTCTCAGGATCAGCAGTGCTTGGTGAGTGACGCGAAAGAAGAGGGAGAATACCAGAGATCCATGCTTCACTTTGCAATTTCACAGCCATTAGGGCTCTGCACCACAAAAGAAAAAGCCAAATCCCTCTAGTTTGCTCTCAGCACATGCCCACCTCCGCCCACCTGCCCTGTGTTGGTCATCTCTGCACTGCCCCAGGAATACTCCAAACTCATGGCTCTCCTGTCTGCCAGAGGCCCACCTCTCCTTCCTTTCTCTATAAACTCAGTTTGAGTCCCTTGAGGGCAGGTCCCAGGTCCCCTGTGATTTCTCCCCAAACCTTCTAGAACAGTAGTGATTACGTACTGATCATGTACTTGTCTGGGGATCACTCCTTCCCCATCCCTCTCCCAAACTCCAGGCCTAGGAGGGGCCCCTTGTACACTGCAGGAGAATCCTCCAGGTTGCCTAGGCTGGCGTCAGCGCTCAGAGATGCTCACAGGTGGTTAGTGCCCGGATATGTTAATTACACGACTTCTGAAATAGCAAGAACGTAGCACTGAGGAGAATTCAAAAAACATCTTCCAGGAGTCTAACAAAACAGAACAATAAAGGGCAAGGGGAGCTATTTTAACTTACAACAAAGAGTGATTTCCCACATACCCTTTAAATGAAGAATGGAGCTAAAGTTTTAACATGCACGTGGGAAGTATTTGGGTGTTGAATGACAAGCAAGAAGGCTTTGGGGTAGCTCTAGTTGGCTAGGCCATTCAAAGTTGAGAGCTCTTCCAAGTTTTAGGTCATCTGTATTAAACCAGAGAGGGTTTGAACAGATAGATTGGCTTTGTGTTATGGGCTTGGCTTAAAATGTACAGGATGCTGAGTCTTCAGTCCTTCACTGATGCTTGAGTGCCACCTCTTCCAGGAAGCTGTCCCTAACCACTCCCAAGTCCCCGCTGGGAGGACCACTGCCCAAGAAGTAGCAACGCAGCCTAGGGAACTCAAAAATAAGCCACTAAAGCACCGGACATAATGTTCAAGAAATCCTTTTAAAGAAAAGAATGAAAGATATATACTTATTTTTCTTAAAATATACCCTTCATTTCAATATACCATTTCAATATACCCTGTAGGGTATGTATAATTCAGTAATATATTAATACCTAACTTTCAGAAGGATAATTGGCCATTACATGCAGAGACTCTGAGATGTTCTTTTTTTGCCTGAGTGTAGGATATGTTTATTATTCTTTGGAAAATCAGTTCCCCATTAAAAAGCAAACAAAGTTTTCGCAAGTATTACCTGACATCTGTAGGAGCAGCTTATTTTAATAGGAATTTGGCTTCATGAAATCTAAAATAGAGCTGTTGGGGTTTTAGAATTTAGAGAATTAGATTCAGATCCGGCACTCTTCAAAAACAACTTCTATCTAAATAATAGGAATTCAAACCATCTTTCATAGAAAGAGAGACCTAGTAAACACTACTTAGATAAAAGAAACTATCTATTTTTAAAAAGACCAGCTAAGTACTAGATCAAAAGCGCCACATACATTTACAACCAAATGGCACTGCTTGGGAGATCAAAGTGAACTGAGAGAGCAGAAAGAGCCTTTACCCAGAAAGCATGAAAAAGGACCACGGAGACTTAACCAATATCGAGAATTTAAAGCAGACACATGTCTTTACTTATTTTATTGTTTCAATGTACAGAATCTTTGCTTAAAATAGGGGAGAAAGTGTACCAATTAATAAGTACATAAAATAAAATAAATTCTGAGCCATCAAAGGGCTTTTCTTGCTATCGTTCTTTGTGTTTCTGAAAGACAAATACTTCAAAATGTCTATAATGTTAACTAGCCACTTTCTTCTAAATTCTGGAACTACAAGTCCAAGCCAGTAAGGGCTGCATATGTTTCTTTTCATGGGACCTCTCAACCCCTAAGAGCCGGTACTTGGGTAAGAAATGTATCCAAACAGCAATGTACTTCGTGTATCTAAATCAGAATGTGGATGTTGCTATAAGCGCAGGCACTGTTAAAGTTACCATCAAACAGTGGGAAACATTGTAAGAAAATAAAATATGGCAAGTGACAGAACATTTTATTGATGTGTCCAAACCAGTTGTCAAAGACATCAGTCGTGGAGCTAGTGAAGTATGATGTTATTTCAAAGCAACTTCCTGCTACAGTTAGACTTCCCGGGTTGTATGGTTTATTCTTGCTGTTTGTTAGCCAGACCCCAATCATAAATATAGATTTGTAAACTGTGCCTTTTCCGCTCACCATTCTTACTTGTTAATATAGAGAGACAACTTTTGTCCTTTGCACTGTGTGAAAGTGCAGAGCTGGAATATTTAATAGTCCAGATTTTACCAAAGTCAGCTGTGCATTTCTTAGGCATGTGGAGCCACATGCTTTCCAAGTGGCCAGCAGACCCCGCTCAGACATTTATCTTGATGTTCAGATGCCTTTCATTTGCTGGTAGATTACAAACCACTATAATCATTTCAAAGCCTCCTGGCTCTAATCTAAAATTAAAGCAAAAAGTAAAAAAAAAAGAATGCCTGGGCATTGCTCAGCAAAGCTACTTAAAGGCAGTGGTAGCCAGCCGGTGAGAAGCCCCAGTGGTCCCTGGCTCCTGGCATTCACACCCTCCCGTGGTCCCCCCTACACTGCACCAGGGTTGGTGAGGTAACCACTCGACTACGACAGAAATGATGTTGTATCACTTCCCATATGAGGTTTAAAAGACACTGTGGCTTCCATCGTGGTCCCACTTGCCTTCTCTCTTAGATCACTTCCTCGGGGGAAAAGTCAGCTGCCATGTCATGAGCCCTGTAGAAAGACACACATGGCGGGGAACTAAAGCCTTGTCCCAACAGCAATCTGAGTGAGATCGGAAGCTGATCCTTCACACCCAATCAAGCCTTCTGATGACTGCAGCTCCGGCTGACAGCTTGACAAAACCAGCCTCCTTCTGGGATACTCTGAGCCAGAACCACCCAACGAAGCTGCTTCCAGAATCCTGATCCTCAGAAACAATAGATGTCTGCAAGCTTTGAGGCAATTTGTGATGCAGCAGTAGGTAATGATGCAAAGGCTCTGCTCACTGCAGGTAATTAGGGAGTCTCTCAGCACACC